TTCTTTATCCTTGAAAATATCTGACAATGCTTAATATGATTGATTGTGTTCAGAATGACATATTGACTCAGGGAACGAGGTGTTAGTGCTTTGCGCAGCAGCATCCTACTTCGGAAGCACCATTGAACTTGTGGAGTGTCGTGGAGATGGTTTCGGCCATATCCGTCATTTTTCCCATCGCCCATTTTAAATTACAAGCACCCTGGTTTTTATTAACAAAAAGAGTTCGTAGAATATTTCAAAAATAATTATAGTAAAATTTTTATAGAAGTTTGTAACCACAAAACATAAGTGGTTCTCCATCCCGGTCAGCCCTCCACGCCGTGGTCACTCCCATTTCCCGGTAAGCCGCTCTCCTTCTCCTCCCACACCCATCTCTCCCCCTCGTCGTGTCCGCTTGCGGGCACGTACGAGGGCTCCTCCCATCCGCTACGGGTCAAATGTATATGTGTGTATGAGGGATTCGTTGAAAATGCTGTAAGGTCATTTGGAAGGTTAAGGCCCATAGCGAGTTTTACTTTCAAGTGTGCAAATTCTACTGTCCCCGTAAGTATCTGTCGAAGAGAGCTATTGTTGGTAGCCTGGAGACAGCGTTTAAATTTTTGATCTGTTGAGCTGCTCCGTCTGGTTTTCAGCGTGATTGAAGTCGTTCGCTGTGACGAGGTGCGGGGCACGTGTTCCGTCATTTCCCGTCACGTCTGCTGTATAGTGCTCGCACAGGTTTTGATAATTTCGAGCTCTTTTTAGCTTTTTATTTCCAGAGCTATCCGAGGCACCCCATACGGTACAGTACAGCTGTGTATGATTTGTGGTTTTGTGAGCATTTGCAGGAGCTAGCTACCACGGAAACGGCGCGGGAAATGGCGGCGTTGTAGGATAGAAGCGGCTCGTGTTGCAGCTGCCGCGCGTGCGGGCTTGCCCGTAGGAGTGGCAGCGGCTCCACCTGCTGCTGCCGTCGTCGATGCCGAAATTCCAGTCAGGAGACGTCGGAGGCGGGGCACTGGTTGGACATGTCACAAGGCCGAACGCAACCACCATGCATCGCAAGGAGGAGCGGCTCTTGGACCGGCTCGCCCGGTTGCTCGGTCCCGTCCCGAGCAGGTTCCCGCAGATGTCCAGGTTCGCGGCAGCGGAAGAGTACGGACGGCCGTCGTGCCGTTCCAATGCTCTTAGCTGCTGACCAGGAGGCTGGAACCTCAGGGTCCGGGACCAGTGCTCAGGACCAGGGATCACCCGGCTCCACCTCTTCGGAAAAATGAGTTTCGATAGTAAGGAACTTTTTTGTATCAGAAACATGGCAAGAAAATTTTATAATGCGAGGATTCTTGAACGAAGAAGACGAGTCGCTCGGGGGTGAAGAAATCACCCATTTCATGAGAAATCTCACGTTGAAGATTAAGCTTGAATTCGAAGATTCTTTTCGTCAAAGATACATCGTTGTGATCGAACGAATCCCGTTCCACGATAAGATGGATTTGCTTAAACTCGGAAACGGAATGTACACATATTACTTTTACTTATTTTTAGAAGAACCCTACAAGCCAAGAGATTTTCCGGGAGTGAGAGCAGCCATCCGGGTAGGTAGAGGTGCCCCCTGTGCCCGTTTAAGGGACAGACAATGTAGTCTTGAATTTAGTGTGGTTTGCTTTTCTTCTGCAGAACTCAACAACTGTGCACGACCTGCCTGATAGAGGAGCTGGACCCGCACTGCTCTGTGGAATGTGGAGCCGCCGATGGCAAGCAGTATCTGCGCAGGAATGCAGGAGTGCCCTGGAAGATCTGGCTGGCTGACAATGTTTTTATCGCTGTGGATCTGTTTGTCCAAAATGCTGTGAATGTTCCGTGTTTGTTGAGTGCAGGGGAGAGTATCGTTCGTGAGGTTAAGGCGTATAGCGAGTTTTATTTCCAAGTGTGTAGCTTTTACTGTCCCCATAAATATTCGTCAAGGAATGCTATGGTTGGTAGCCTGGAGACGGCATTTGATGCAACGAATGAGTTTTTGATCTTTTGTGCTGCGGCGTCGGTGTTTGAGCGTGTTATTGAAGTTCTTCGATGTGACGACGTGCGGGGGACCGCCGACAACCCACATACCGGAGCAATGGGATGACCAGCCCACACCGCCGACAACCCACACACGGTGGGCTGGTCATCCCATTGCTCCGGTGTGTGGGTTGTCGGCGGTGTGGGCTGGTCATCCCATTGCTCCGGTGTGTGGGTTGTCGGCGGTGTGGGCTGGTCATTCCATTCCAC